TTTTATTAAATAAAAGCAAATCTTCCATTGACCACATCCCCACCCCACCCCTAGAAAGAGTGATCTCTGTTTCATGGCCTTTCCTTCAGTTCTCAGTTCATTATGATAGGACTTCCATATTTCTACTCTTCTGAGTCTTATTCATGCCAAAGTGAGGTTATTCTCACTCTAATAATTCCCAAATACTAATTAAGAGAGCAGATTACTTCCTTTTTCTTGAAATCCTTACCACTTACTGCCTTCTTGACTCTCTTTGACTCCATTGCACACCACTGTTCACTGTCTTTCCTGGGTTCTTCATTCTGCACGTCTGTATTCAAACTTGAAATGAGGCTTGGGCTTGGATACTCTTTTTTTTTTATCTTTTTATAGTCTTGATCAGGCCTCACCAACCTTTTGACATGGTGACATTTTTAAGCATAGTGTTCACACCCAAGAACTGCACAATCCAGTTATCAAGAAATCACAGAAAGTAAATAAATAAATAAATAAACCTTCATTGTTTCAATCAGTTATGATTTTGTGTTAGACCACATTCATGGCTATCCTTGAGCCATGCATCTCTGTTTGGACATTTCTGTGGGATTCTTATGACTTTGATTCATAACTGTATATGAATTACTAATAGAAAGCACCTACAATGGTATTTTTGCACATATAAGATACTTCATGTTGGTTCCCTGTGTAAAAAACATTTTGGTGACTTTCTTCCACCTTAGAAATTCTTACCAAGTCTACAGACCCTGTATAATCTAGACTCTTCCTTTTTTATTCTTCCTGTATCATTTTCTTTCTTGTTCGTTGTGTTCAAGTCACCATAACTTCTACTCTGCTCTCCAAATATGCCACGCTACTTCCTGCTTTGGGACTTTAAAATGATTGTCTTTCCTATTCACATGTAATGTCCCTAAGGACAGGGACATTTTTTTGCGTTTTAATCAATATATCTCTAAATTGGCATAGAGTAGGCACTCAGGAAATGTTCATTGAGTGAATAAATTACTATACAAAAAATAGAAGTAAGATCACATAATCCTAACTTTGGAGAATTTACAACTATAATAAAAGGTATTCAGAGCTTGGGCATGGTTATGTATGCCTCTGAGCTTAGCATCTGGCAGACAGAGGCAGAAAGATTGCCACAAGTGGGCTGGAGAGATAGCTCAGTGGTTAAGAGCATTGCCTGCTCTTCCAAAGGTCCCGAGTTCAATTCCCTGCAACCACATGGTGGCTCACAACCATCTGTTAAGAGGTCTGGTGCCCTCTTCTGGCCTGCAGACATACACACAGACAGAATATTGTATACATAATAAATAAATAAATAAATAAATAAATAAATAAATATTTAAAAGAAAAAAAAAGATTGCCACAAGTTCAAGGCCAGCCAGGGTTTCAGTGTGAACTTCTGTCTTCAAGAGAGGGGGGGAGTCAACATTTTGAAAACTGAAGGATCCATGTGTATTAACCAGCCCACTGCCTTTTTACTGTGTATCCAAGAAACTATTCTTTTAAAAACGAAGTCAAGTTGCTAATGACAGAAGGGTAGCAGTTCTAGTATGAGGTGTCGGACACCAGAGCTCTAAAAAAGCCACTAAAAATAAAGCCCCTGTTGAGATTTTGAAATTTCAAGTCCCATTTCATCAACCTGCAGTCTCCTGATTGTCCCTGGGGCACAAGCGCTGTCGTCAGCATTCTATCTTCACTGTACATTGTTGTTTCTGGGTTGGCCTCCCCCACTATGTAACACGTCCTCCCTGATGGACTAGTGGAGGGACTCTGTTCAGCCTGTTCTGCTGTTTCTCCTCAGGGATCAGTAGTGGCGAAGTGGTGGACTGGATGGATTCGACTGGTGAGGAAGTGAGCCTGTGGCAGAAGATGCAGCGGTACCCAGGGTCTTGGGCAGAAGGAACTCTGCAGCTACGTTCTTCAATGGTCAAACAGAAGCTAGGTGTATGAGTCCCTATCTTTGTCTGCAGGTGCAGCCCTGGTAATCCAAGTCAAAGGTTAAGCAACCACAGTGAAAGCTTGCTAATTTAATGTGTGTGCATGTATGTGTATAAACATGTATTTCTGCAGATCTTATTTTGCTAGCTAGTGTGATACAGATGTGTTCCTCCCTTTAAAGAAGCCCAAGAAGAAGGGTCTTTTCGAGTGGTTTTTATTTATATATAGTATATTTTCAGAGCACATAGTTGCCTCTGTCTTTCTGTGCTTTAACTAACTTTAAAAATCTTTTACAGCAACTCTCTACTTTCTGTCCTGCTATCCTCACTCCCACTGCCCCTGGAAGTAGGGCTGTTTGGAGCAGTAGCTGGAGTTTGTGGGTCTAGGTGTGCAAGGTCTGGTAGTTCAAGACAGTGCACTATGGGAGAGGGATTTACTAACAGTCCTTCCTCTCCGGTTTGTATTTTATCTCATCATCTACCTTGATACATTTTTAGAAATTGCCTTTTAACTTTTTTTTTTAAAGCAATTTCCACCTTGTGTGAGTGTAATGGTTTTCTTTGAAATGCAACGAAAACTCTCCAGCTCCTCCCTAGGCCTTTGGGGAACACTTATAATGGAGCCACTTTAGAAAAATCACTCTAATTAGATAATGGCCTTTTCACTGGGACATTAACCTGCCCTGTGAGACCTACTAGCTGATCCCACAAGGTCTACGTGACTCTGAAGAAAGTTTCTCACAGCCCATGTTGAACTCTCTTTTTTCAACTGTTTTAGCAGTTGTTAAAGAGGGATTTCCTTATTTCCCTAATGGAGGATGAGGCATCTTCACTCTCAGGTACTATAGCTTTTTCTAAGTTGGTGGCTGGGGTGTGCTGTTGCATAGAACATAGTCTCTATACCTCCGTTTCAGCCAGAAGAGCCAAAGACTGTCTAAACCGATACAGTACTCCCCCAGGCTGGGGATTATTGCCACCCCATGAAAATGTGGATGGAATCGCCCAGCTATTCTGACTTTTGACCTAATATATTTTCAGTTGCCGTTTTGGTTGATTCCTAAACTTGACCTGCACGTAACAGCGGAGTAGCATGTTGAGACTTATAAGGGAGACCTAGTGAGCTTTCATTTCCTGCTCCTCACTCTTCGGTACTCAACTTTTCCTTCATGGCAGTCTATCTCTACAGAGGTGTGTGTGGAAGGAGTCCGTGCCAGAGAGGAAATCCTGTCGATGGAGCCAGCTGCAGATTGACTTTCCTGTTGGGTCTCTGAATTCAGCGGGGTGATTAAGATTGTATGCGTGAATTGCATAGAATGTTTTTCAGAGATCTATTTAATGTGGATTGATACTGTTAACAGAAGTGTAACTCAAGAGCCTGGCTCACACTTGTTCTTTGGTATTCCACCTCGACTTGCATGCATGTTTCAATAAAGCTTTCTCACTTGAGTGTTTACACGTTGAGTTCTGCAGATGATTTTGTCTCTGTTGTCCTGACTTATTGTTACCATTTTCCCTCATAGCTTGAAGGTCAGAACCAGAGTAATAAATACACCTTGCTATACTGGAAGAAAACCAACCTTTTCCCACACTGCTGTCTGATACCCTTGTTGAGCCCACGTTCTTTGTCCTACATGTTTGGAATCTAAAAGTAGCATTACTCTTATCTCTCTTAGGGACCAATAAAAGTCGGCCTTTGGCTTTGTAGAGTGTCCCTTGCTGGAAGAAGAGAGATGTTCACATAGGCACAAGGGAACACCTTCCATGTTACCCCTACTTCCTTCTAGATTATTCGGTTTCTTTTGGAGGTCAGGATTTTTTTTTCTCATCTACTCCATTATTTAGATTCAAGAGGTAAATTGGAGATGTTATACAATTCACCTTTGAAATAAGGCTCCGATCTTCTAGCTAAAGCTCAAGTGATTCTTGGCCTCTGTGCAAAAGCATATTTGTGAAAGCCAAGTACATCTTGTATACAAGGGTTTGCATGAGATTGTCTGACTTTCTACAACACCTCATGAAGTAGGAAACCTTCCCTTCTTGCAGACCAAACATGAGCTCCTTGTCACGTGACTGAATTGGTATTTGAATCCAGACTTGACTCTACCATGTTGCCTTCTGTGAGAATGATATATGCTAAGGGCAGAACATCAAACAAAATGATGGCTTGTCTCTCCTAAAATACCTTAGGGTTTCTTAAGTCATCATCTATAAGGACTACCAAGGAGGTTACAGTAAAGCCTTACTTTACTGTAAGTAAAGGCAAGATTGACTTGACTACTCCAAATGAAGCAAAAACGAAAGCCCCTAAAGCTCTTTTAAGCCTCAGTTGCTTGGAGCATTTACATGCAAGGGTCAGGCCCAGCTGGGAACTTTATGCAGGAGGTAGTGGGGCCCTGTGTTATCTTCTGGGCCATTCACCTACTAGCAAGTCCTGGCTCGCCACTTGAAGTGCTAGTATAAAGACAAGGAGAGCATTTATCTTTTCCAATGCATTGGCTTTGCCTTTGGAATCACAGACCTTATTCTGACCAGAAATTTCCTACATGAACTCGCTGCATTTCACCTTCTGCCTAGGATTTGCCTTTGGTCTATCAAAGCTCCAGTATTTTTCTTCAGGGAAGACGGAGAAGGGGATTCCCCCGCTTCCAAGTTCGATTTTTTCCCCCCATGTTTTACTCCACCAAGCCACTGCTTGTCTTCTCGCTTTGCCTTTTGAAATTGAGATTTCCAAGAAAGCCCCATTTGAAATTGCTTCTCTCTGATTCACCGCTATGCCTGTCTGTTGTAGGCTTATGATTTCTGTCTTAGCACTCTGCTTTAAAGAGGAATTTTCCTGGGCTGAGAGTCTTTCATTTTGCTCCTTCCACCTGAGACCACTGTGACTATTGTGGCTATAGAAGATGGAACCTTTCTCCTTCGAGTGTTCAATTATCTTGGAATGGGAAGTAGAAAAAAAAAAGAAGTAGAGGTCAGATGGCAGAGTGGAAGCTGACTGCTGGTGTCTGTGCCCAGCTGCCACGTACTAGCTGTGGGAATTTAGCATATTGCCTAGCTTCTCTGAGATTCAATTCCTTTAATGCGTCAATGGGAGCTAACAACAATACCTACCTCCTTTGGCTCTTTGTGACACGTCTGAGTCAGTCAATAGTGTGTTTATAATGGCACCTGATACAAGTGCATTCTTGAGCATTGTTAGTTCTGTCTCCCCACCCAGCCTGCTCGCTGCTGCTTCCAGTTGCCCAATGATGGTGCCCAGGAGAAAATGGAAGGAACAGGGTGGCTGAGCCTTGACTATGTCTCTGGCTTCCATCATTGTCTAAGAGGCAGTTCTCAGAAGCAAGGGAAGAACATCTTTTTTCAGACCCTGGTGAAACACCCCTTGGGAGACACAAGGCAGAGCAGAAACCTGCAGCCGGAGATGCATCTCAGCAGCAGTGTTTGGCGTGTGGAAGATCCTGCCTTTATTGCCCAGCAAAGAGGGGGCTGGGGTGGACACAAAAGATGCAAGACAAAGGAAGAAAGAAAAAGGAAAGGCAGGGTTCTCTGTGTGGCCCCATTTCCCAAAAGTCCACCCTCAAGTTTACTTCCAGGCCTCGTTCCTAACCTTGACCTTTGATTCCTGTAGCTACCTGCTCCGTGCTCATATCTTAAAAGTGGGTATCTGAGGAAGTTAATGCATGAGCCTATCCCTTTTGCTTTCCTGCTACGTTTGGTGGTGGCGGTGTGTATATATGTATGTGTGCACATGTGCATGCACACGTATGTGCCTGTGTATGGAGCTTATGGAGATCAGAGGCCAGTCTTGGGTTTTGTTCCTCATGCCATTTATCACGTTGCTTGAGAAAGTATTCCTTACTTGGCCTGGTACTCACCATTAGGCTAGACTTCCAGACCAGTGAACCCCACTGATCTGCTTATCTCTACCTCTCCACTGGGATGCCAAGCGCACACCACCACATCTAGCCGTTTTACAGGGATTCTGGGGAGAAAACTCAGATCCAAATGCTTACATGGGAAGCATTTTACCAGCTGAGCTATGTCTCCAATTCCTAGAGGCGGTCTGGTTCACAGACGGGGGAACCTCTAATGAAGGGCCGCCGCCCCAGGGGCATTAAAGCACTGAAGACCTCATAGGCAGAAGTTCTTGCCCACAAGCTATTTGGAGTATCTAGGAGGGAACTTCCTGCTCTGGCTGGGTGTTGCTTCCCAAACTGGAGAAAATGTTTTTCTAACTCTTGATGAAGCAATGGTTCAAGCAACATTTTTTTTTTTTTAGCCCAGTGTCCCGAAATGGGAAATGACAATCAGCTTCAAGAATGTTTTGTAGACCCTGGTCACCCCTCTCCTGCTTTTCATACAGTTAATGAACTGTAAGGAAAATCTGCTTGTACTTGTTTAACGTGTCCTGCTTGTCTGTTGTGATGCTGCCCTCTGCTGTCACCATAGAGTAAAGGAGCCATTGACGCCACAGGAAATGAATGACTTTAGGATTTACTTATCGGAAAGATGTTGGAGAGCTAGGCAGAGGCTGTAGTCAGGAGAAGCCCATCTACCCCCCAACCCACTGCCCAGGGCCTCTTCTCAGTCCCTACCTACTTTCGTGTGTTCTTCCAGTGCTACCTGAAGTGGAGCCTTGCTTAGGTAAAGAAATATTCTCCCCTAAAATGTTGTCTGGAGCTGTACTAGATTTGGCAAACCTCACCCCTCACCTGAGTCCTGCTCCCAACACTGTGGGCAAACATTTCCTCCTCGGTTTAAGCTACCTAGGACAGTTGCACACTGCACTTGACCTCAGCCACATCCTGGCTCAAGGTCACTCGCAGACGTCCCTTTGCTCCTGACGCCTGGCCAGCTCCTGGTTGCTCAGCAGGTAGTCATCGATGAATGTGAAGATTTCCTCAGGGGTGACAGGCTCCATGTAGCGTTCCCGGTCAATGCCCTGCTTGTCAATTAACACCATGTTGAAGTAGGAACGAGTGAGGCGCTGGAATTGCCTAGACAGAGCAGGCCAGAGAGGTGTGAGACCTTGGTCCGAGTCCCCCAAGACTGCACTACTACCCTCTGTTCTCTTATAGCTCCACCCTTTCCGGTTCCCCTCCCCTACCTGTCTCAAATCCGTTTTGCTTATTTTCGCCTCAGTTCCTAGTCTTGGCAGCCTTAGATGTCTAGCTCTCCTTCCTCACCCTGACCTGTCATTTCTGCACCATGGTTTTCATTTAAGGCAAGGCTATTATCTACTACATGCAGGCTGCATGGAGCAACTCCAGGAGGCATATTGCAGACACCATGACTTGTATGTGTATCATCCTTAGCAGCTACAAGGTTGATGAGCAAATCCTAGTTAACTCTCCCACCTGTAGCTGCAAGTCTGCTGTCTCCTTCCTCAGAGGGTTACCTAGTCTCTTTAACTGGCGGGAATCAGTCTGTCCCCATTGAAACTAAATCCTAGAGGTAGGTAGGTATTGTTTCTCAAACAGAGAGCACTGATGGCTTTATTGGACCTGAGTATAATTGGGGAACTGTAAGGCCGATAATGGATAGATAATGAGAAAAGTCAACTTCTACCACCTGCTGCCTATAACCTTCTCTTTCATGAGGGTCAGATAGATAGGATTCAGATTTCAGTGACCAAAGATGCCTTTTTCTCCTTTGGAGATTGAAGGTAAACAGGGGAGCTCATAAGCAATGAGATCAGAAGCTTCCTAGTGATTCACGTCTGGAGTGGAATCCTTTGTGTCTCTCTCCGTTGTGGCTCTTCAAAGTCACCTGAGGTGCTTTTATGAAAGCCCAGAAATGTGGCTTGCTGTGGGGCCTGGTTATATGTGTTTGAAGCCTCCATTTAATTGTCATGTTCCGTTCGAACTGAGTGTTGCTCTCCTGACTTAGTACAGCTATAAAAGTTCGAACATAAGAAGTGTCTCCAAGAGCCCCCGCTCCTGCTTGCTAGTGTCCTGTATCAGGTTCTTGCCCCCCCCCCACCTTGCAGCCTCCCAGCCTGCACCTGAGCTCCTCAATGATGCTGGCTGATAGTTGTTGCTCCCGGATGCGCCCCACCTCCTGTGGTGGTTGCCCCACCAGCTCAATAATGGTCACATGCCGCAGGTCCAGTCCACAGGTGGATTGCTGGGAGGGAAGAAAACATGAAATAGATCAGCCTTTTACACTTAAATTTGTAGGCTGCTTGGCTGACTCCCACCTATGACCACATAAGGCAACATGAGAAAGGAAGGGTTTCTGCAACAATCACACAATTTCATAATCAAGTTATCACACACTTTGAGGTCTGTACCACCTCTTCCCTCTCATTTCTGAAGCCCTCACTACACAAAAGAGTTTTCTTTATTCTATTTCACTGTCTGAAACTGATTCACAATGTGGGGTAGAAAAGAGAAACATAATTCTTGACAGCCACCAAGTCTGATCTTTTCATCAGTCTTCCACCTACCAACCTACCAACCAACCTACCTACCTATCAACCTTCCTGCCTACCTACCTACCAACCTGCCTGCCTACCTACCTACCTACCTCTCCCACTCATCAGCTAAAATCACTGTGCAGCTTCCTCATTTTCCATAATGCCATGGCACTATTGTCCCCATAGCGATTGACAGCACAGACCCAGAGCTAGATAGCTTGGGTTCAGTCCCAGCTCTACCATTTCTGAGCGAGTGGTCTTGGGTGAGTCACTGAATCTGTCTGTTTTCAGTTTCCTCACGTCTTCAGTGGGCACACAATCGTACCTACATCAGAGGGGTTGCTGGGAGAACTAGCTGTACATGTGTAAAAGCATGTCAGTCATTACCTGGTACTTACCCAGCACTTATTATACCAGTAAAATTCCTTGAAAAACACGTGTCGTTTACTCTTAATATTTACTTTAATCATAGCTGTCTCACGGGCCTCTCCACATTGTTTCCCAGCCTGCACCCAGTTCTTGGTATTATCTACCATTCCAGCGAACTCACTGACCTTTCTGCAAAAATAATGCTTTTTAAAATGCGACCAGGGTACCTAATGACAAACTGAATCAAACACTACCTACAAAAACACAGGGATATGTAGGGTTTGTGCCGCACAGAGGAACCTTTTTGCTAGGCCATCCTGGGGAAGTAGGTCTCACCTGCAGCATGGAGATCTGCATTTTGTAGTACCGATTGGAGGGATCGGGAGCTGACACTATGAGGAGCCGCTGTTTCTCATAGAACTGATCCAGAAGGCCAGCAGCTGAGTTGACATTGACATTAATCTTCATAGCTAAGGCAGAAGCACATGGTCAGTCAGAAGGCGCCCTTCTTCACCTTGCAAGGCATTCTGGTCTTTTACATCCTTGCCCTCCCTTCCCTGACGTGAATTCCAGAAGGAAACCTGAATATTTTATACCCTTCTTCTGGAGGTAGAAGTATTCTCTGGGAGAATGTTGGCCCTTAAAAGGTGACCCATGTCAGAATCCCCGACTTCATATCACACACACTAATATTAGACCTCTGGACCATGGAAGAAGTTCTTCCAAAATGTCCCTGACCCACAAGCCTGTTCACTCATTTCCTAGTTTCACTCACGAGTACAGATAGGTGGTGATCCTGACCACTGTCGACTTGACTGGCAGACTCGGGATGGGGTGCCCTGGCGTTCATAGCCACCATCACAGTGGTATTCGCAAGTAGCACCGTAGTTGTCCCCTGCGGAGGTGCAGGTGAGGTAGCCATGCTGTGGTGGCTTCAGAACCGGACAGCGTCTCACTGCCAGGGAAAAGCTCAAGTTAGGGGTTGTGATATCTCTTGTAGTCAGGAAAGGCAAAGGGGACCACTCCAGGCTTTCTAGAATAAGCGAGTTTAGATAATCCAAACGAATGGCTTTTCTATGTTTCCAGGAGCCAGGAAAGTGGAGGTACAGTTTCCTTCCCTAAGGGATTAAATTTGAAATGCAAACACAGGTTCCTAGTTTATAGATACACACACACACACACACACACACACACACACACACACACACACACACAGAGTCATGAGGTGAGTATAAATGAATAAAAGAAAATGTTATTATCTATATTTGTAAACTTTTATAGATACCAAGTGTAAAAACAATCACCTTGCCGAATGACTTTTTTCTCTTGAGACCTGGTTTCACAATCAATATAGCACAGGCTAGAATGGATTCTCTGTGGAGCCCAAGAGGTCTCAAACCCACTGTCTTTCTGCCCTAGCTTCCTAGTGCCGATATTACGGGTATGTGCCACCACAGTTGGTCAGACTTACTTTTAATAGTATATAAATCAGATGAGTCCATGATGGACAAAATGATTAAACCAATCATGATACAATCTTTGAGTAGAATTATTATGTTGTGATTGAAAGTATTTATGAAAACAATTTCAAAGAATATGGGAAAAATGCTTGTGTTTTAATGAGAAGTGGAAAGGGGTGATCTTAAATTATATATTGTCAGTATATAGAGAGAAAAGACTTGAAGGAAGATACTAAAATGTTATCAACAATGAGCCACATGAGATGGGGTTAAACTTATTGTTTATGAATTGCTTTAATTTTATTTTTGAGACAGCACCCTGATATGTAGTCCAGGCTGATCTTGAACTTGCTATCCTCCTGTTTCTGCCTCATGTGCTGGGATTACAGGCATGTGCTACTATACCTGGCTGTTCCTTTATTTTAAAATGTCCAATTATCAGCATGAATTACTTTAATGTTGAGCAAAGCAAAGTGAAACAATGTGACAGGAAGCAAAGAGAAAAACACCAGGCAAGCAGCACTGTTGTTTCAGCAGATGTGAATGGGTGCAAAGATCCATTAGATTTACTCACTTTTAAGTCCAAGAAAAGAAATAGACATAGACTATCTATGAATTTTATCTAGATTTAGAAAAACCATAGCGTCTCACTGGAGAGTCAAGGTTTCTGCAACGATTTTATGCCCAATTCGTATGGGTTTTCTTGATAAGTCTGTTTGATGAAGTTGGTCTTTCCCTTGCACACCCCCTGTATTATCAAGAGGAGGGGGTTGCTGTGGGTTTTGGAAGGTCAAGGCAGAGCAGGAGTGTTGAATGGTGTGTCCAATGAAGACCTTTTCCTGACCTTGTACTTTTACAATGAACTTGCAGCTGGCCCTGTTGTAGGCTCGGTCATAGGCAGTGTAACGAATCACATGTTCTCCTTCAGGAAAATGAGAACCGGGCTCTGGGCCCCGAAGTGTCACCCTGCAGGAGACATGATGAAGGTGTTACTGAGCTCCAAAGGGAAAGGTGTTGAGAATTGAGATCTGAGGCACAACATCACTTCAGGCACTGCCTGCACGGTCTGACTGTGAGTACCCCGGGGAACTGGGAGAAACTGCTGGGGACACAGGAGGCATGCACGACACAAGCTTACCTGGTGATGGTACCATCAGCAGAATCTTTCACCAAGGGTGGGTCCCAGTACACGCGAGCGGTTAGTTTCTCTGGCTCTGCCATCTTCTCTCGTGAGTGAGGACAACGGATCTTGGGTGGATCTATGTCTGCCAAGGTCAAAGATCAAATGTGGGTTTATAGATCCCCTACCTTCTCTGCTGGAAGCAATATTACACAGCACTGGTACATGAAAGAACGAAAGTTCACCTTTATCTAAGAAAGGGGAAAGGAGCCTGGCTCTATAGGCAATAATGCTATGCCCATTGTGTATTCTCAGACACAATGTGTATGAATTGTGTGGTCAGAATTGCGCATCTTCTGTGAGTGCAGTGTCAGGTCCCTTTTGGCAGCAGAATAACGGGAGGCTCTCCCAGCACTTACCTACACATACAGGCTCGCCTCCACTCCATCGGCCATCTTCCATGCAGATGCGACTGCGATCACCTTCCAGGTGGTAGCCACTGGCGCAGCTATAGTCACAGCGGGAATCGAGCAGCACCCCATTTGTGCAGGTGTAGCTGCCGCTAGTGATGAATGGCAGTGTGTGGCATCTCATCTCTAAGAGAGAACCAAACAGTGAGTTCAACTCCCCGTGGGACCGACCATCTGGAAGTGATATGTGAGCATCTACCATAGGGAGATCCGTGTCATATTCAACAGAAACTATCGGAAACTCATCCAGGCTGCTCTTAACATTTTCTATGGAACTGCCTTTCCTTCAATTTGCTTTTTATCCTCATATTACAAAGTAAAGAAGCAAACTTAGTTGGATGAATAGTGGAGTCTGAAAAATGTAAATCAGTTGTCTGAGTCCATGATTATTGAAATAAGACCCCTTTTGGCATACTAACTTTACCTCTTGTTCTGTGATTCACTTCTCTGAGCCTCTCTGTTTTTCATCAGTAAAATATATTGACCTCCCCCGACAATTGAAGGAAAGCATCAATAATGGTTAGTTTTTGATTCTTGTTCCTTAGATGCTGTGTCCTCTTCAAATGTTATGTGCCCTAAAGCATGTTCAAAGCTCCTTGGCTGGGCACACAGTTCAGCCAAGGCTCACTTACAGTCAGCCAGCTTTCTGTCCACGCTGGTCAGACTACTGTCTGGAGGGCATGGTAATATTTAATAAAAGTGGAATCTGTGTGCTTTAAAGGCTGTTAGCACAGGATGGTTTTGAGTCTGTCGTTAGTCTTCTCTGTGACAGCGGATACTTGAGAGAAGGAAGCCACGCACATTTCTTTAGCCTAAGTTATAATCCTGCGTAATGTGTGAATGTTAAAACTTTCTAGAAAAAAAATTGTATATGGGCTCTGTTCATTTTTGCTTCCTGACTAAACTAAGCTCGAAGATTATTGCTTTGCTCTTTTCCTGTATTTGTTACATAAAAGTCACATCTAAAAATGACCTACTTAAAATCAGAACCAGAAATCAGAAAGATTGGTCTCTTTGGATGAATTCACTTCCTTAGGCTTATACGACAGTGAAAACAACATATTCACCCAAGAGGAAGGTCAAAGCTAAATACAGGACTCAATTGCAATAGCCACCTTATTCTAGGCCCCTGGAAATGGGTATATTTCTCTGCTTTTTGACTAGTTTTATGTTTATAACTCACAGCCTTATATCTGTTTTGTCAATTACAATTCAAATTCATTTGGCAACTGATGGTGTTTAGGCTGGAGTTTAGGGCCTAAGGCAAGTTACTTATCACCACCGGAAGGGTTGGAGTGATTCTTTTCTGTCCCTCCACCTTCTCCTCTCCTCCATAGCTTCTCTTCTCAGCAAGCATATTTATCTCTGAATGCTCAGGACATCCGCGTCCAGGAGGGCAACACGCATGTGCACACATTGCAGTTTCTATCCCATTGGCCCATCGGCAACCCAAGCTGGGCTGAGGAGCTGGGGGAGCTCCTGAAGCAGCCCCTGTAGAGCCCTGTGCACACATGGATGCCCTTCACATGGTATTTGTTGATCGCATGGAAGACAAATCTCCACCGCCAAAGGGCTGAAGAATTTTAATAACAGGTAGGGTTTGGGGAGTTGAAGAGATACGATTTGAGTTATGTGTGTATTTGCTTCCCCGTATTATGGCAACGGGGATTCTTCCTACTTTAAGGAGAAAATAATGACCAGCAGATGTCTCATTAGCTTTACTGGCAAGACCTTCTGAGGCTGTAGGCTAGGAAGGATGGCACTTGACCACAAGTGGGAAAGAGTCTGGAACACATCCTTGGAAGCTCCAAGAGGTGGCCCAGGCCCACATGCATTCCACATGGCCAAGTCTTGTCCTCCTCCACACATCTCTGGGTTCTGTGAGTCATAGTGGCTGCCTGCCGCTTAACTACCCATATTACTTGGACAGTAATCACATACAGAGAAAATCAACTCCAATGTCAGGAAGAGGAGCTCTGTTGGAGGCCTATGGAAAATTCCCAACTTTCACTGAGTAAGACTTCCAGGTATATACCGTCCGTGGCCAGCGGGCTGCCTTTTCTCTCACACATACCAGTACCTGCTCCCATATGACTTACGCCTGCAGTAGGCCGTTCCAGACCAACGGCGGCTTGGCAAGCATTGCACCGACCTCCGTCCAATCAGTCGAAAGCCACGGTCACAGGAGAGCTCACAACGTGTGCCTAGGCTGCTGTGATAATTTCCTCCCCTTGGTGAGTAGCATGTGGCTTCTCCATCCTGGATATTCAATGTATAACACCATCTGGGGACTGTAGCAGCAGAAGAAAAGTAAGCTGGAAGTACAGTAATCAACCCTACACAAAGAACAATAGGCAGCTGAGTAAAGCTGCTGCGAGCAGAAGAGGTGGCCCTCATCAGGGACGAGCACACCAAGTGACTGTCTAGTGCTTAACAGTCAACCCTGAGAGGGTACATACAAGTAACATTATAGAAAGATAAACATTAGATTAACTTCATAATATAATATAAACTTCAGGTCAAGGTGTTTGCTCAAGTGAAAAGAAAACCTGGGTCCCCACACAATCTTATACACTGTTTAATGTGCCTCTATCTGTAACTGTCAAAAACTGGTTCTTTGCGTGACTAGTGGAGTTAATGAGTTCCATCTCTGTTTAAGCAAGATGTGCTGGCGCATGAGATGGCACAGATAAAGTCGAAGTGTCCTTTGGGAAGCTAGAGAGGCAAGACTCCGTTATTGGGCAAGTATAGGGCACACACAGGCAATACCATCTGCATAGAGTGCACATCAGTAGCTGCCAGGGGTTAGAGGTAAAGAGAGGGGAGAAGTGCGAAATGGCAGCATGGGACAAGTTTCTGAGGTGCTAAAACTCTCCTCCCCCTTTGATGCTAGTTGCCTTCCTCTAGATAGTTGTCAAAGCTCATAGAACCGTACACCAGAAAGTACATGCTGCTACATGCAAATTTGAAACGCCTTTTAAAAAGACATGCAAAATATAAATTGAAGAAGGAACAGGAACATGACATCAAAGCAGACTACTGGGGACTGAAAAGCCAATGCCAGTTCAGCACCAGGCATACAAGTGTACGGGCTGGTTGCACCATAAAGACACCTTACTGATGACAAAATAATGCCCCTTCCTCTGGTTCCTTGTTCTTGTTTATTTTTTGAGACTGCTGTTGCCTAGTCCCTGCTGGCCTCAGATTCATGGGCCCCTGTCTTCATTTCCCAAGTGGTGGAATGGCAGGTCTGTGCTGCTTGTCCGAGATGGTTCAGATTGGAGAGGATACAGGGAGACAACTGGATGGTGGCCTGCACGAGGTTACCCGTGCAGCACGGCGCAGAATTGTTTGTCTAGGATTTGGAAGGCAAAAACACCGCATAAGCGTATTTGATTTTCAAATCCCAGGGAGAAAGATAGGGGCAACTTTTACCTAAAGCACATTACATTGGGAGGTCAAGAAACAATGAAGGGCTAGGGCCTCTGTTTGCATGCAACTGGAGAAGGAGGACAGATGACAGAGAGAAAACGCTTTCTCAACCAGTGTCATGCTTGAGGCTTCTAGTATTAGTTTCAATCGGTGGCAGTTACAAGGCTGCCATCTGGAGACACCATCTCTGAATTACATAATGTTTCTTGAGTGCTAGGTTTGCAGAGCTGCTGATTACACAGCTATAACACATAGCACAAAGCCTTACGTGGGAGGCTGGGACCTCAAAAGCATCTCTGTGCTATTTGTCCCCCATATTCTGTCAAGGAAACGCACACCAGAGTGAAACTGGAAGAGGAAACAAAAATAGGAGAGAGAAATACGAAGCTCAGAATCAATGCAAAAAGAGTGCTGGGAGCCCAGCTACTGTAAATAAGTTAAAGCTTGCTGGCCTGGTCTCAGAAAGACAAATATCACAGAGTTTTAAATATTTGTGATTCCTAGACTTTATACAGATATCGAAAATCATGAACAAATAGAGCTGTATAGGGGAACAGAGGGGAAAATGGAAGCAGTGCAGAGTGAAGAACAGGAAGGCAGAGGGAGGGAGGGAATTCATTTAACACACACTATATACGTGTGGGAACTTTTTTTAAAAAAAAATTTGCCAGCCCAGAGGAATTGTGACATAAGGACAGAAAGTCGGGAGACAGGAAGTGGAGTTTTCAAATAAGGGAGAAGGTAGTTTCTAGAAAGTGTAGGCTGGTGGCCTTGGCAGGACTGTTCCAGATTATTTCAAGGTGAGGCTTCTGAGCTCGCAGGAGCACTCAAGAACAAGTAATTCCAGATTGACTTCATTTCCTTGTTGGGTAGGGCTGCTAGACCGGTAGAACAGGGATGGTGATAGGTGCGTTGGTGCACTACGTGGAAGTCAGTGAGGCGTGGCAGAGAATGCATTTCACGCCAGTGCCAGCGACGCGAATGAGATGAAGGAATCCAGCAGAGGTGACAATACAGTTAGAGTCCTAACTACTCGAACTACTTACTAACTGTGCGGAAGGACTGCCAGTGGGAACTGGACTCTGGTCAGATAGTGCTTGCTAGCTAAAGTGTCTGCTGGGAAATGTAGTCATTCTGAGTCCTGTGCTTAGGCAGCATGCTTTCCTTTTGTGTTCCTCCCTCCCATAGAGTTTTCCCAGTAGCCCTGTGAATCACGCAGTCTTTATCCCTATTTTTCGATGACTTTGGCCAGAGACATGATGGAACCCAAGTTTGCCTATTCTAAAAACTTGTTCTTTCTACATACAAAATCTGTCATGGCAGCTGGCATTTTGAAGTATCCACTGATCTTTTGAAGCAGGACTCTGTCCACCTGTTTCAAGACTCCCAAAGGGTAAGGAGCTAACACAGTGAAATATCTCCTTTCAGTCCCTCTCATATGGCTATGCGCATTCACTCCATTTCCAAAGGACCTATGATCGCAATTGATAGACAGAATGCAAACCCCTGTATAATGTCTTACTTTTCTTTGCTCCTTTCACACATACAGGAGCATTTTGTGTGTACGGTTCCTGCCATTACTTTCTATTTTGTGGTTCATGGGATCAAACCCAGGACCTTATTTATGCATGCTGGGCAAGTGCTCTATCACTGGCCCAGTTATAACCACTATTTTTAAGTGAATAATTTAAAGATCTTTGCATGGCCCAACATAGCAAGTGTGTACTTTAATTAAATGGAATAGCATTTATAGAACACTTAGTATTATGAGTGACATGTAATAATAACTTGCCCAGAGTTAAAAAAAAAACTGGGAAGGTGCTCTCTCTCTCTCTCTCTCTCTCTCTCTCTCTCTCTCTCTCTCTCTCTCTCCTCTCTCTCCCCCCCC